TGGAGGACCCCATGCCAGAGCACGTGGGTGCCAGAAGGAGGCTGTGACCCTCTGGGAAGCCCTCACTGGAGCAGGTTCCTGTCAGGACCTGTGTCCCCGTGGAGAGAGGAGCCCCCACTGGGCCAGGTTTGGGGCAGGACTTGTGATCCTGTGGGGGACCCGCGCTGGCGCAGTCTGTTCCTGAAGGATGGCACCCTGTGGAAATGACCCACGCTGGAACATTTCATGAAGAACTGCAGTCTGTGGAAAGGGCTTATGTTGGAGAAGTTAATGGAGGACTGTCTCTTGTGGGAGGGACCCCACACTGGTGGGGGGTCTTACCCCTATTCCCTGTCCCCCTGTGCCGCTGGGGGGAGGAGGTAAAGTCAGGAGTGAACCTGAGCCCAGGAAGAACGGAGGGGGGGGAAGGTGTTTTTGAGATTTGTTTTTATTTCTCATTATCCTACTCTGATCTGATTTGGAATAAATTAATTTTTTTCCCAAGTCGAGTCTGTTTTTCCTGTGGTGGTGATTGGTGAGTGATCTCTCTGCGTCCTTATCTCAACCCACCAGCCTTTTTTTATGTTTTCTCTCCCCCGTCTATTAGCTGAGGAGGGAAGTGATAGAGCAGCTTGGATGGGCATCTGGTGTCCAGCCAGGGTCAACCCACCACAACATCTCAGGCGACTGAGAGTTTACTGTACTTCTACTGCATATGTTGATTATTGGTATTTCCGTTTCCAAAATGGACCCGCTGTGTTGTAAGGATACCAAGTTGTTCACCATATCAATTTGGTCAAAATTATTTTTAAGTAGATTATTAGTGAATACTAGCTGAGAGAAATTAAGGAAGCACATTCTGCTGTGAGATGTCTAATGAGGAGGAAGGTATTGTGTTGAAGGTATTATGTTCCCTTCCTGGGAGAGGGAAGTGACTTGGGGCAGAAGTTCCAGAAATCATTTGGTCTAGTGCACTGTCTGTATTCTTGAATTAGTATTTTTCATGTCTAGGTATGTAAGTTGCTAAAAAAGCTTTCTTTCCCCCCCTCCCTCCCCCCCCCAAGAACGCCAACAACAAAAACTAGTCTATCCTTCTCAGTATTAAATATTTGCTCTCTTTGATAGCATCAGTGTTGAAGGAGTTTCTGCACACAAAACCTAGTCTCGGCAGCCTCTGTAAATACATCCTCTAAACTGGCAGCTAGGTCAATTCTGTAAGAATGAATGTAACAAGAATAGAGTTAAAATGATGACATCCTTGTCATTTAGCGCTAATAGGAATTGTAGGGAAGACAAAAAAAATGTTTGTATTACTGTCTGTTGGCTTTTTAAAAACAAAAAAATGTTAGTTTTCCCTATTTTTTTAAAGGAAGTTATGAAGTGTGTGCATATTTGTATGCAGGACCTTGAAAGCAACGTTGGAATTAGATAATAAATAAATCCATAATGGATGAGGTTGGAATAGGAATGTAGGTAGAAGTGGGGCTGATGTTAACTTAGAAGAAAGATAACAGTGGCTGAACAAGTGATAGAGGAGGAGAGGCATAATATTTGCAGCTGTGATGTCTAGTGATCTCTTGGAAGCTCAGTAAATCAGTTTGTTGGTATGGCTGCAGTGCTTAGGGCCAAACCATAAAGTTTACCTCTGCTGGAAAGAATTGATAGCTCTGATCTTTTGTATAGTGTATGCCTCTGTTGATTAGTATTCCACTTAAATGAAGTGAAATTATTAGAGAAAAATGCACAGATTTGAGGGGCTAAGCAATATGTATTGTGTTTATGAATGTTTCTGGATTGTTCAGTTGTAAAGTCACTCCTAGTAGTAGAGGCAAAAATGCCATAATCATAATGCAGAAGTTTATAGAGCTTCTTTCTAAACACCAGTTAGCTCAGGTATTCTTGGTTATGCTCAAAAAGCAAATGACCATAAATATATTGATGAAATACAAGGTGGAGTTAACATTGTTTGCATATACTTAATCTGTGGCAGCCTACTACAAGGAGTCTTTAACTAACTGGTTTTGAAAACCAGTAATTTAAAATGCTGTATTTTAGCAAATCACCAAAATCAATTTCCTGTTACAGGAATAGCTTTTCCTACATTTATCTTCTCTGTGAGAAAGCCTTCTCTGTATGAATTCCTTCATGCTTGAATGACATGATTCAGCTACTGCTAAATCATGAACAACTCTACCAGGTTAAAGCTTCATGAGTGGTAAAGTTATCTCCTAAAGCCTGCATGGCTTGCAAAGTGCTTGGTTGCAGTTCAGTAGCCCCTTTTTGAGCACCTGGGGGTAAAAAAAAAAAAAAAAAAGAATGCTTGAAAGACACTCTGTGTTGAGAGATGTGATGGAATATTGGAAATTTCAATGGAAATATTGAATGCCTCATTTGAGAAATCTGGAAGTGACAAAGCAGATAGTAAGTTTTGAAACATAGATATAACTGATAGACATCTATAGAAATAACTGACAACAAAAAGATCGGTGTTTAATTGGGAGGAATAAAATAACTAAGTGGAATTCCTTGTCACAGTCAAACTACATAGAATCTCTTGATTCACCCTTAGTGCATCTTCCCAAACATGATTTCTCTGTGGTTTTGTTTTTTGTCTTATCTGACTTTTGTTCCTTGTGGCAAAGATCTTTTTTGTCAGTTTAAATTTTTAATGGTCCTAGAAAAAGAAGTTCTAAACCTAGGACTTAGTTCTAAGCTTAATATTCCCAGCTGCACTCTAGTAGAAATTATCTAGTTTGCCCTCAGGAATGGAAATTGTTGCAGATTGAGAACTCCTAAAATAGTTAGCTAAGATTCACCCCCACCCCTCTCCTCTTTTTTTTTTTTTTAAACAAGTTTCCCTGATCATGGTATTGTCCAAAGCCCTGAGCAATAATTAATTCTGTGTTAAGTTCACTGCTGTCTTACTTCATAAGTAACATGTCAGGTTATTCTCTCAGGTCACTATGTAGTAACAACGGGATTGTCACTTGGCTGTCAGTAGGAATATTAACTCCCTTTATCCCTACATCCTGGAGCGATCTTCACTTCGAGACAGATTATAAGTTTTGTTTATATATCACAATTGTTTTCCATCTGAAACTATAAGCTTTTGCATCAATTAGACCTTGTTTCTTCTTGCTTTGAACTGCTATGACAAATGGTTGAAACAGTTCTGAGGCAGGTTTTCTTAAAAATGTCCTGTGAACTCTGTGGATGTAAAGAGCTGTAGTCCATTGAGTCATTTCAGTGATTGTGGACTCTGCTGTGTGTTTTCCAAGGGCCTAGTTGCAGTGCTCTCCTGAAAAGCATGTACTCATGTATTTGCCAGTTGATACAAGCTGGGTAGTTTTTACTAAGTAATCTGTTGCTGATCTTTGTCTCTCCATGAGTTAGCATGTGCTTGGTCATGAGTACGTGGTGCTCTAGTTTTTACCCCGAAGTTCTATTGTGTTGACATTTTTAATAGTCTTTATTTTTACTTTAATTCATGAAGAACTTGCTGTGAAGACTCATGAAATCTCAGCTGTTTTATATTAACTGCCTTTCCCACACTTTATGGATTCTTGTAACTTGGCTTTCATTCTGTCACATGAACTATTGCAGTCATTACTGAAAATATAACTTGCTAATGGGAGCTGCCTTCATTTCCTGCTTTTGTTGTTTCACTTGTCACTTCACCTAAGCAAGAAGGACCGGTAGTGTGACGCACACTGTGGGTTGGGATAAATAAATATGCATAAGAGCTGATAGCTTCTGTTGGTTTAATAACTGCTTTGTATTTTCAGAGTATTATAGTGCATATAATTTGTGCTTTTTCTATTTTAAAAAACCCAACAACACAACTCCACTAAAAAAAGCCAAGAGCTTGGCAGGGTAAACATTCTTCTGGAGAAGAAATTTCCATCTTCAGTCTTAACAGAATCACAGAACCTTCCTTTTTTTTATGTCATGCCTTAGAATGTCTTAATTCCAAAATCTCAAAATAAATACCTTTGTATTGGAAAGAGTAAAATTTTTAATTTTTCATTAGAATCCTTGTATTCCAATACAAAATAAAATAAAAATGAACCAATTTTGAAATAATGTTTTAGAAAATGTAAAAATAATAAACTGTTGAAATTCTTTTGCCTGCCACTCCTCTTCTCACCATGGTCTTTAGTTTTCATCAAAACTTGGAAATGAAACTTACGCTGTGTACACTGATGGAATGTGGTTGGAAGTTTCTGTTACCAGCTTTTAAAGTATATATGTTCTGACAGCTAAATCCTGCTATTATTAGTGAAGTATATTTTTTTCCAATAAACTTGATAAAAATGATGCACAACAGGATTTGTCATTGATTTCAAAGAACTTGTTTGAGCTGAAAACAGTGAAGATTTACTGTATGAGGCCAGCAGTGGCTTTAGCTCTGATACCTGAAAGGTCAGCTTTTTCTTTTTTGTGACGTGGATTGTATACGTCAGTACTGCAGTACACTCAAAACAGATCCCCTTCATCATCTGAGGGGGCTGGGATTGGAGTAAAGTATTCCCTCTGGAAGCTTCATCTTTTGGAATTCACTCCATGTAAGTCTCTGGATGTGACAACTGGGAGCAGAGGGGACAATGCAGTGTCTTGTCGCTAAATCCTTAAAAAACCCCAAAAAACTTCATTTGTTGACAGTGCAAGTAAGTGAAACAAAAAGCTGTAATGGGTTTAAATTTGATAAGCTATTTTAATGAAGTATTAGCAGCAAGATAAGTTTTAGCAGTATTTCTTCTTATAGTGATTGTTAATAACTGAAGTGTAGAGAGTTTGTCTTGTCTAAGTCTAAGCATTATGCGTGTCTATATGTGCACACAGGAAACCTCGACCTGTCTCTCAGCTGGTTGCACAACAGGTTCCTCAGCAATTCGTGCCCCCTACACAATCAAAGAAAGAGAAAAAAGACAAAGTAGAAAAGGAAAAAAGTGAAAAAGAAACAACAAGCAAAAAGAACAGTCATAAGAAAACCAGGTAAAAATTTTAGAAACTTTTGCAGTCTTGGTAAAACATGATTTCAAAAAGAAAAGAAAAATATTCTGCACTTTTACAGCTTTGTAATTGCTGTGGCAAACTCTTTTGACAATAAGGATAAATATTTGTGTGTGAAGTTTCATTGGTTTCGGATGCCTATGAAATGTGAAGAAAACCTGCAGTTTCTACTTTGACCAGAAGATGGAGACCAGCTGAATGAAAGACTTGGGTATTTTTGTGAGATGTATTTCTCACACCATACAAAACTGTAGATAGGCAAACGGCTGAAATAATCTCTGGAAAAGAGAGGGGACAGGAGTGGCTGGTTTTCATGCAAAAGAATAGGAGAGAGAGAAAACACCAGTACCAGATGGCAGATGAGTGGGAAGGTAACATGGTTATTGCTGTCCTTGCAGAACTGGAATGAACTCTGAAGGCCTGAACTAGGGTATAAATTAATGTGACAGGATAAGGCATGTATATTACCTAGTGATAAAAATCTCTGTGCTACATCTGGAATGCTGAAAGAAACCTTGGAATCTAGGAAGTTGAGAACATGAAATACTACAGTACAGACAAGCAGTTGTAAAAGTCTTGATCTTGCTGTAAGACCAGGTGGCAGAAAGGTGCAAACTGCAAAACAAAAGCAGCAAGTTTAACCTCTGAATCATCACATTCTAAGCATAAAGTTATTGTGGCAAGAATGCTGTGCCAAAAAGCTCAGAAGTATATAAGACAAGTAGTCTAATCAAACGTGGGAGAAACCATTGATTTTTTTGTTTTGTTTGATTTGGGGTTTTTTTTGGAAGCACTCTGATATAGTCCAGCAAGAAAGATCCTTTGGTATTGGTTATGCAGAGTAGTAACAGATGCTTCTCTTGTGCTTGAAATAGGATAATCAGGATCAGAACCAGGGAGAGATTGAGAGTCAAGAGAGGAGAGTTGTTAAGAAAGTCACAGTTAGGATTAAGGACACTGAGATGTTCATTTTTAAAAAAAAACAAAACAAAACTCAAATTTCCTAGCTTACCTTGTGCAGCTGAAGTACATCAGTTATGAAGTATTTGAAGTTCATAGTGAGTTTTAATTAAGCCAATTAAATATTATAAATTTAAATACTGATGGTTGAATTGCAATAGTACATTAAAGATGCAAAAGTGAGGTAGGGAAAAAAGGAGAACATTTAAAAAAAAAAAAAAAATCTTGAACTGAAATACCAGTATTGAGATTTGCATTAAGAATTGCTATTTGAAATAACTAGGATACGTTTGAGTTTTTTTAATGCTTCAAACAGTCCAATTTTTCATGTAATTGATTCAGTAGGTAGGGTGGCAAGTTCCAAATGCTTGATAAGTTTAAGCAGATTTCTTCAGTATCCTTTGGAAAAAGGATATCCTTTTCTCTTTGCCTTAAAACTTGTATATTATTGCTGGAAACAATAATAAAAATCTGCATGCATGCTCAATATAGTTAATAAGCTCCAGGCATGGTACTTAGGCGGGTTGAAAATGCTGAATTTTTCTCTCCATTCCCATGTTACAGAGCAGCAGGTTTTCTGTTTTCTCTGAAAATCTTAGTCATGCTACTTCAGCCTCAGGGGAACAAGATGTCAAAGCCTGTCTCTATCCTAGCAGGGGAAAGGGATGAGGTGTTTCAGCTGAAGTGACTGGAAACCAATTCTACTTCAAAGTCAGATGATAGGGTAAAGGTTGGGGCTTTGCAGTTAGCACACCTACTAACATATGATAAAAAATTAATTTATTTTATTGCAGCTTGAGCTAGCAAAAGGTGTGGAGTCAGTAGAATGCATAAAGCTATGCTGTTCATGACCGATTGTATAAATTCAGCTATCTGCTGACAGTTTTTCATGGTAGTCAAATGAAAATAGTAAATTGAAGGTACTTTATGCTGGTCATTAGCAAAAATATGATGGCAGAGTATAAGTCAAAATATTCTTCTTTGGTCTATATGTTATGAAAATCAAACAATTGTAAGATTAGATGAAGAGACTTACCCTATCAACACTGTGTGTAATACTCAGCTCTGTGTGTAATTTAAATCACAGCGTGTGCCAGGAATACCAGAGTTATACTGTGAGCACAAAGTCCAGTTCAAATAGGATACTAGCAGGTGTAGTGAGGTTTTGAAACGAAGGAATACCTGCTGCAAATTAACACTATCTGTGCTGTTGAATTCAAAGACAGACACCAACATAGAACAGTTTGGGTTGGATGCGACCTTTAAAGGCCATCTAGTCGAACCCCACTGCAGTGAGCAGGGACAGCTTCAACTAGATCAGGTTGCTCAGAGCCCCATCCAGCCTGACCTTGAATATTTGCAGGGATGGGGCTTCTACCACCTCTCTGGGCAACCGGTTCCAGTGTTTCACCACCCTCACTGTAAAATATTCCTTCCTTACATCAAGTCTAAATCTACCCTCTTTCAGTTTAAAACCATTACCTCTTGTCTTATCACTACAGGTCCTGCTAAAAAGTCTGTTCCTATCTTTCTTATAGCTTTAAGTATTGAAAGGCCACAGTAAGGTTCTCCCCAGAGCCTTCTCTTCTCCAGGCTGAACAACTGCAACTCTCTCAGCCTTCCTTCATAGGAGAGGTGTTCCATCCCTCTGAAAATTTTCGTCTTCATTATTGAACATCATTCTCTACTTAGAATTGTTGTTTAAAGCTGCTGCAGAGGTGGATGCTTCTCTGCATCAAATTTAAAACTTTTTGTAGCCACAATTAAGAAAGACAATTTTTTGAAGTAAAAACCTTCACAACATCCATATTGCTGCACAGTTACATTTATTCACAAAGTCAGCTTTTATATAGTCTTAGGAGGAGGTAATGTGTTATGTTCACCTACTTTCAAGTAAAGCATACTAGGAAACACTCTACCATAAATACTTGTGGTACATTGTTTTCCCGTGTATTACATGTTGCACATAAGTCTTGCATATGATCTCCAGAGCTCCTAAAAAGCAGGAGAAGGACAAGATGATAAGATGGTGTGTGTGCTTTTAATATGACTATTTGCTTTATTTAGGCCAAGATTGAAAAATGTGGATCGAAGTAGCGCTCAGCATTTGGAAGTTACTGTTGGAGATCTGACAGTCATAATTACAGACTTTAAGGAGAAAACTAAGTCACCACCTGCTTCCAGTGCTGCTTCTGCAGATCAACACAGTCAGAGTGGTTCTAGCTCTGACAACACAGAGAGGGGAATGTCCAGGTCATCTTCACCTAGAGGAGAAGCGTCGTCACTGAATGGGGAATCTCATTAAAGTTTATTTCCTCCAGTTTCTTTAGTCTCTTCTCTTCAAAACATGCAAATACATAACTTCTGTCACCTGTTACCACATTTTCATGACAGGTTATCCACGCACAATTGGTATGTTGACTGGAACATAATTTACGCAGTTTTAAAAAAAGAAAAGAAGTGCAGTGGTAGAAACAATAATTTGAATGCAATCTACAAATGCTTACAAAGCATTTTCAGACCAACTTTTTAATCTTCATGTGTAAAGGTGCCATGAAAATGTGGTTTGAATGTTCATTATGCAGTGTTATTGGTAAGTCCATTTTCACTTTTAGTTTAGTGAATTCTAACACAACTCTTGGAGTCTCTACTATTGGCATGTACTGAATTTAAATTTTTATAACATAGTTCAAGCTGCCTAAATATGTATTATTTGAGAATTGTGAAACATAGTTATATGTATGCAAGTCAGAGATCAACTTAACTATTGCTGCAACAGAATTTTCATAATAATTATCTTCTTAAAAACACCTGCTGGTACTTGGTGTGGTTAAATAGGAAAAATGTTATTAAATAAAACATTTGTATGAATTTTTGCCAATGTTTGACACATTTTACTAGATTACTGTTACTGAATTATGTTGATGGTTTTACCAATATTTTTTCACACTTAAAACACTTATTGTAATGTTTACAAGCAAAATAGAAAACACATTCTAAGCATTGATTGGTTAACCTTACAATTCAGGTAAAGTACTACATTGTCACTGTACACTGGTATTCCATGTTGTGTAACAAATATTGAACCTCAGATGACTATGCATTTGGCAAAAACTAACATTTGAAAATACGAAAGTTTGGAAAAGTTTTAAAAATAACAGAAGTGCAGTTCTTATTTCTGCTTAGTGCGGTTTTCTTGCCCCAGATTTATCTAGTGTCATATAGTCACTTATAATTTAATTACAGGAATATCAGATCTTGCCCACGAATAAGAAAATAACAATACTATTAATTTTTTGTTCCTGAATAAATTTCTTTAGTTTTTATTTGGTCTATTAGAATATATTATGTCATAAATAATATGAAAAAACTCGGTACCCTACTTTATGGCATAAACTGTCAACATTTACGCACTTGGCAATATACTGATACAGAGCAGAACTATTTAGAATCCCATCTGGTATTGTGTAAAATTACCAATAAAATATTTTTGTGAATACAGATTTTGCATTTTTGTTTACAACCAATAAGTGTTTTGATGCACACATACAATCCATGTATAGATTTTAAATTATAGATTCAGGGTCAGTACAAAAGTCCATTTAGCTCCTTTTAGTGAGGTAGCCCACTTACACACCTGTGATTCTTTTTGTTTTAATTCTATATAAATATATTTTTAAGCCCATGTAAAAGTTGGATGGACTTTCTTGGTAGTGAATCCAGCCCCAAATTATTACCAATATATGATACGTCTTAACAGCTAAAACAATGGATTTTTGTAGCCCCTGACAATTGTGATGTTTGGTGGTTTCTTGTAGTAATGTATTTTTCTGTTTTTAATGCAGTACTTTTACAGGCATAATGGTACTGTTCTATTTTGTAAGATGCTAGTTGTGAAATACAGTTAGTTGCATAAAATGAAAGTCTGATGTGATATCTGAGAACATACATACCTCATTCCTTGGTGTTGCTGTTTAAACTTTTTAGGCATCAAATGTTAATTATAGGATATTTCAGGTGGATAACTACTGACCTGTTTATTATGTATTATGCTTTACCTTACTAAATAGGATGTCTGTTCATTGCCATTACCTAGCCAAATCTTAATATCTGTAAAACAATGCATTCTATGGTTCTTAAATGTTTTTGGGGCTGGGCTGGTGTTCAGAATAACATACACTAGTTTTTAAAAGAAAAATACCTGCTTCTCAACTTTATTTTTTTATATTTTATTTTTAGGTGGGACTATTTGCAGAATATACTGATGTAATGGATTACAAGGGAGCTGAAACTGTTTAAAGTAAGCAGTTTAATGGTAGCAAATCTCATCGCAAGATGTTTTATGAAATGTGTTTGTAATTTAAAATTTAATGAATGCTAACACATTTCAGAATTCCTTGCAAACAAATACTAATCTGTTACCAGTAGTTCACTAAATGGGAAACGTATTTTCATTGAGCTTTGTGAATAAACCACCCAGCGCTGCCAACAAGAGGTCTCTTTGTATCTTCGGAAATAAGTAGCCATTGGGTTTGAAAGGAAGGGAGGATGGAGTGGATTTTACTATGATCCAACTGTCTCTAGAGAATAATTTCAAAAATGTGGTACAAGTATGGTTATAATCAAGAAGAATCCAGAAAAGTCTCACTGGTCTTTATGGAATAAGACATAGGAAAGCAATTTCTAACCACAGATACAACACAAGTCAGCTAGGATCTAAAAACTGAGCTGTGGTGGTTTAACTGAACTATTATGTTGCCAATGTTTACATTGCAATGATGCCTGGTTTGGCATTAAACAAAGTTAAGATAATTTTTGCCTGTTTGTGATTAAAGGGATGTGACAATACTGACAGCAGAGTAGACAAATTCTAAGTAGAATATGGCATTTAACTCTGATCATAATGTAATAATTTAAATGAACTTCACTTTCATAATTTCTAAATAATTTTGACTTGTAGTAATTCTAAGTCCTTTTTCTAACTGTAAATATATTTAAAAGTATCTTGACTCCATTTATAAAATGTGAAAATTTAATGTTGTAATGTGTTTTGATTAGCTATTTTTCTCTGTGACTTCTATCTGCATAAGAACTGTTATTTGTTAAATTCTATATATGCCCTAGTCTTCAGCAGCCATACATCCTGGGTTGTTCATGAAATGGTGACCCCACAAAGACAAGTGTGATAGTGTTCCATGTAAATGAGTTCCTTTATGTGCCGATTGATTGTCTGGTTTCAGAAAGGAAAAGGGGGGAAAAATGGGGAAAAATTAAGTATAATTAGTTCATTGACAAAGTGTACAATAATTCAGTCTCATCTCTTCCTAAATTTCCCACTAATTAAATGTGGCATAAGGAAAAGAACAAATATACAGTTGTAGACTATGATCTTTTTTCCCCTGAAATTAAGTATGTGTATTGTAGATAAACAAAAGTTGCTCTACTTCGTAGCAGGTTAAATTATGCCATATAAAATCTTGATTCTAACAGAAGTGATAGTATAAAAAAATTACATTAAAAAACTTTAAAATTCTTGATATTAAAAGTCTTCAAATTATGACTATGAAGTTTTAACCTGTTAGATGTTTCTGTAGCTATTTGATGTTTTGTGGTGTAGATCGCAAAATCTCAAAAAATTATTTGATTTTATAATTTGTACACTTTTTTAATATTATGAATATCACGTTTTTAGGTAGCCATGTAAGATATAATAGTTTTTATGAACTTTTTTCCCCAGTTCACTGTAGTGTTCAGGCAGGTCTTCTGAACTTGACACAAGTGTATGACTCTGCATCTCGGATTCTTTAATTTTTCTCTCTCCTGTCTCAAAAGCCTGACAGTTTCCCACATTATGCTGCTTGATTATGCTTTTGTTATACAGGATGGATTTGGTATGAAACTCTCTTGTGTACTTCTTATGTACATTGAGGGTTCTTTAACTGTATCTGCTTGGTTTTTTTCTGTCACATGCCTTTATTTGACTCTGCTCCCTAGTAGGGAGTCTGGGTATACTTCCCTTCAAATATCCGAAACTATATGGAAATAGAAATGCAATTTAATTTAATTTCTCCAAAGGCAGCAGCAAGTGCTGTACTTGTAGTAAAATTGGCCTGTGCTTACTCAGGAATAAGATAGGTAAGATAGAAGGTTAATGCTGGTTTTGGCTATGATAATTTGCAAATGCATACTTCTATCAAAGTTAAGATTTGGGTGTGCTAGAAATATTGTTTGAGCTTTCAGAGGTTATGCCTGAAATTATGCCCTGACTTAACGTCAAAATAGTCTCAATTTGAAAGGTGTAACTTCACAAGCTAGCAAAAGCTCTACAGTAAAATCAGTCAAACTGAAGAAGCTCAGTTGGTTTTCTTTTGTACTGTTGAAGTGTTAACTTTGAGAAACTTTCCTCTCTGGTTAAGAGAGACTTAATAGGTTTATCTAAGACAACAATCAGATATTGAGCTTACTCTGACATCTAAAGAAGAACCCATGTTTTAATAAAAATTAACAGGATTTAACTACTAAATTAAGATCAGATAAGTACTTCACAAATTAATTACAAATCAATGCTTTATAGAAATTATTATAACTTCCTACTAGATGGATGCTGTAACTTCCTGTCTAGAATGGAGTAAATGGTGCAACAGCAATGGGTAGCTGCACACTTGCCAGTAAATGGTATTATCCAACAGCAAGTGATGTTTATGTGACTTTCCTAACACATTATGCAAGAAGATTGTGATGTAACAAGGCCTAAGAGTCCAGGGGTCCCCACCTCTGCCTAAACTATACCATTGGATTCAAACAGTGAAAGAAAATGCAGTGAACAAATAAATTAGTTTCAGATCCTGGAGTCTTAGTAACGCAGGAGCTATTTACAGCTTCTTTTTAACTGTATGGGTGAAAAGTAATTAAATTAAACCACCACTGTGTAATACTTAATCCCTCAGGAGATGTTTTCAATCTTAATCTTGCCCCTTTTATTATGGGAAACAGATAAAAGTCATCTGAAAACCTGCTCTGTCCACTGACACAGGGGATTGTAAGAGCAGACAGTTTAATGGACACAGGAAGTTTTAGCTGTACTTTTAAGGAGTTAAACATGGAAGATGAAGGGGAAAAGCATATTCCGCAGCTCAAATATTTGTTACTAAGAATGATCACAAGAGATTGCTGTACCATTTTGGGTCCTTGTCCCATATGTTTAAAAAGAGAATGATCACCAGAAAAAATATTGTTCCAGTAACAAAAATTTAAAGAATATTTTCAAAATGTTAATTATTTTGTAGAAAGAATTGCATATCTTGACAGAGGTAGGAGTATCTGATCAAGAAGCCCTTCAGGACTACATTTTCAGGATCTAAGCTATCTGGAAAAATGTAATCTTTAATTACACTGTTCTCTGTGTGTAAATATTGATGTTGGTCAAAGTGCTTGCAAAGTGCACAAGCTCCCTTAAACTTTAAGATTTTGAGAAGTGTGGCTTTAGACCAATGGAACTCTAATTTACAATGGGGTTATTAAGAAGACAGTTGAGGAAAAGAGAGTATTAATCTGTTTTTTGATAACCTGCTAATGTGGCGCTCATAATTTTCTTCTTCTGTGTGAAGAAGCACAAATATACAGAGGAAGGAAATACATGTAAGCAGGGCTAATGAAATTTGGCTCTTCACCCCCTTCCCAAGCTCACTAGATTCTACAAACTACAAATTCTGTTTGGTTCAAAGACAGTCGCAGGTACTTCGTCACTAGAAAAGGATGGAGTTGTTCAGTCACTCAGCATCTGTTAAAACAAGTGAGTGGTCAGGCCGATTCTACTTTCTGAATACTTGCTTTGGGAATACAGAGCTCTAATTTGCTATTTATTTGCATCTAATATATAATTACCATCCATGAATAATCTATTTCAAGCTGATCCTTCTTTGCACAGAACAGATCAAATTGCTTCAATGCCAGGCCCAGTTCCTGATGGCACAGATCTCTGAGCAAGAAAATCTGCCATCTGACTGATCATCTCTTACTGTAACAGCCTTCATCTATTAATTAATCTAAGCAAGGGAGATAATCTTAAGATTACATGTATTTGTTGAGTATCACTATTCCCACCTCTGAAGGAAACATTCTGATTCCTTCTCTCTTTTTTCCCAAGTACATCTACAGCGTAGGTGGATGCAGTGAGTTTGAAATTATTTATTATGCCTGTTTTCATAAGTGGGGAATTTGACTGCTATTCCCAGTTCTTCAACTGTATCTTGGTTTCTGTAAGACCAACCATGGTATGTGGAGCTTAGAGGTCATCTCTCAATGTTGTCACCACTGTCCTTGTTTCTATATAATTGACTTACTGAACAGATTCTTGCTGAGCAAACTTACACCAATCCTGTACCATTCAAGCATTCTGGCTGAGGTAGCTGGCATTCTGGGATGCCAATTAATGGTCCTCATATCTGCATTTCAGCAAACTGTCTGATTCTATTGCTGGGAAGCTTCCAAACATGGTAAAATAAGCAAAACGCTTTCCAACTGATGGAGGCATAATGTTGCCAAGCAAGTTGCAGTACCTGGAGGCTTTTTGAAAGGTGCAAGAAAATACTTTCAGTGCCAGCTGGAGAAAGAGATCCGAGGAGCCTGTGCAGATACTGAGTGCTTTCTCAGCTTTCCTACAGAAATTCTAAGTAGCTTCTGTTTCTAAAATGTCAAACACCTTCAAAAACTCTCAGTCCAACAAAAATACAGGATAAGGGGGAAAAAGAACTTTCAGAATTATACCTAGAAAAGCTACTATATAATGGCTTATTTGTGTGTTTAGTATTCCTTTCTCTGTGCACTGTATTGGAAGTAGGCAGCATCCCACACTTCTTACAGGTGTGTGTTGCTTTATAATTCTTGTTACCTGGTGGTTCAGTGACTTTTGGCCTAAAGATAGATGTAGGTTTTTGTGAATTTCATAGTAAATGCCATTAATGTTTCTCTCTTGGGTACAGGTCATTATGGAAAGGGCAATAGTTTTGATTAAAGAGCTAATCAGGAACAAAATAGATTCTTCATGTACATTTAGACACTACCCAACTTTAAAGAGTCTGATTCATGGACTACTAGCAAAAGGGTGACTTTATGTGGAAAG